GAGGAGCAGTGATGAACACAGTTTAATCACATAGAGCACCTGTTATATACAGAGGTACTTAAAGGGGTAGTTCAAAAACGTCAAATTCGCAGTTCCCCCTCCCCTCACCCCAACTAATCGATCCACCGAGACATGATTCTGTCTATAGTTTGCTTCCTTAGTTTTGCACTGGAGCTACGAGCCTAATGTAGCTAAAGTACCAACATATACTCACACTTAAAGCCATGGTTTGGTTAGAAAGCTAAGTTGCACCCCAGATCAATAGTCACCCAAATTCTTTCTGTAAATACATCCTCAGGACTTCTCTCCACCTGCTCAAACCTCCTCCAGCCCTTCATTAAGGCTGTGCAGACTTGTTGATGTGGTTTAGACTCACAGTATGACTTACTGTGAACCATAGAAATGAACCTTGTGGTATAATCAAGTTTATTTGAGATTACCTAACATTTTAAACAGCCTGAGAGGAGATTGTGTTGATCCAGGTGTGCAGTTAGTTCCACACTCGTACCTGCTGTTTCCTTTACGTCTTACCTACATTAGCCTCGTACACACCAAACACGTCTCGGCTGTGGACTGTGTTTGGTGTAAAGGAGCAACACTGTATGTTTTTTCTGTGTTTTGTTATTTTATTTTAAATAATAATGTATAAGATGGATGCAGTGAGCTGGATATGAGTGAGGTGATAAGGGGCTTTATACTAGACGTTAAGCCATACGTACATATACACAAACACACACATCAACAGACTACAACACACATACGAATTAACGTACACACACACACACACACACACACACACACACACACACACAGATTAAAGTCATCAGTTCTTTAATTTGATCCTCATTAAACACATAAAACTGTTCTAAACTACTGAACAGTTCATGAGGGGTTTTGTTTGGATAATGTTTAAAACTCTTAGATATTGTTACTGTTTTCTCTTTCTTTGTTCACCCTTTATCATTCTCTCTCTCTCTCTCTCTCTCTCTCTCTCTCTCTCTCTCTCTGCTGTCAAGACATTTTAATTTCACATTTACACAATCTCTCTCTCCAATCTGCGTTTGCCGTATTTATCCACTGCTCTTAATATCGCCTCTCTGACACGCTTTAATCCCTCATTTACATTAAAGGGGATTAGGCTGATCGGAGGTGGTGAGTGTGTGATTAAGAGTTCAGTCACTCATGTGTTCTGTGATCAGGACTCTCTGTGTTTCCACATGTGCTGATCTGGCCATGAAGAACCTTTAACGGGAGTTAATGAGGTGGAGCTGGAGAGACGAAGACTTCAAGCGATAATTAGTTAAAAACACAATTACCGAAAACACAGTGGATCAGCTGAGATCTGCGTGGTGTCTGAAGTTTACTGCTGTAGTTCTGCACTGAAGCTACAAAACTAATGTACACACTTAAAAAGATGGTTCTTAAGGGTTCTTTAGCAAAGGCAATGGTTTTATATAGTACCATAAAAACTCAAAAAACCATTTGCATGCTTAACTGGTTCTCTGCAGGATGAAATGTTTCCTCAGATTGATGGAGAATGTGTTGTATATCGTTCTATGTAGAACTTTCCTGAAAATGGTTCCATATAGCACCAAAAAGCGTTCTTCTGTAGTTACAAGAACGCTTGGTGCTATATAGAGCCACATACAACACGTTCTCCATCAATCTGAAGAATCATTTCAACATGAAAAGCGTGAAATGGTTCTACGTAGACGTCATGGTTCTGCCTTATCTTTTTTAGTGTGTAGCTAGCAAGTAATAGATGTTCATACAACACCCACTGTATGGCTGAATCATCACATATTTACCTCAAACGAGTACAAAAGTATTAGCATAGCATCTTGTCTGAATGTTGTCTGTGTGTTTGTCCGTGTGTGTATTAGCTAAATTAGCCTAATAGCTCCAATGCTAATCTAAAGAAGCAAACACTAAACACATCTTGGCTGATCATCTACATTTGGGAAGGGTAGGAGGTGTACATTTAATCTTTATAGAGCTACCGCTGCTATTAGCTTTCATAATAGGAGTTCCAATCTCAGCGATCTTCAACTGGAATTAGGCCAGAGTGATGTGGCAGTGTTACAGTACCAGCAACCTCTGAACATGAGTGGGAGTAGATCAGTATAGCGTATGGCCTGCGGTCTGGTGTGTGAGGTCTGTGTGCTTCAACGAGACTCATTCAGCTGGACACAGGCTGCCTGCCTCAGACTCCAGAGACCACATACAGACGCAAAGTCATTAACATGCACTGCTTTGCATTTTTGCCTACAAAGGCTTCAGCCTGGAGCCAGTGGATCAGTAATGAAGAGTTTAGGAGTGGAAGTGCAGATCACAGCAAGAGGCCACTTTAGCTGAGTGATAATCCTTTTTTCACATTTTACAGTTATTACAAACCTAAAAAGAAGGAATTTCCCTTGGGTTTAACAACTGAGACATCAGTGTAGCTACATTTACCATCTACTTTATTAGAAACACAGACCTTGTGCTTCCTCTCACTGGCCACTTTATTAGAAACACCCACCTTGTACTTCCACTTACTGGCCACTTTATTAGAAACACCTACCCTGTACACCCTGGCCACTTTATTAGAAACACCTACACTGTACTTCCACTCACTGGCCACTTTATTTGAAGCACCTACATTGTGCTTCCACTTACTGGCCACTTTATTAGAAACACCTACCCTGTAGTTACACTAATTGGCCACTTTATTAGGAACACCCACCTTGTACTTCCACTTACTGGCCACTTTATTAGAAACACCTACCCTGTAGTTACACTCACTGGCCACTTTATTAGAAACACCTACACTGTACTTCCACTTACTGGCCACTTTATTAGAAACACCTACCCTGTAGTTACACTCATTGGCCACTTTATTAGAAACAACCACCTTGTACTTCCACTCACTTGCCACATTATTAGAAACACCCACCTTGTGCCTCCACTCACTGGCCACATTATTAGGAACACCCACCTTGTACTTCCACTCACTGGCCACATTATTAGAAACACCCACCTTGTGCTTCCACTCACTGGCCTCTTTATTAGAAACACACTGTTTATAGGGTCCCTATATAGCTGTACATTTAACACTACAGCCCCATTCATCATTGGTTTCTGGCCACAGGACTGCTGTTGACTAGACATGATTGTATTTGTTCTTTTATTTTCTCTTTATTCTTTTTCATTTCTCTATTATAACTTACATGAAGACCAGACCATATTTTAAGATGACTTTATGCACAAATGCAGTTAATTCTAAAAGGTTTGCATACTTTTTCATGCCTTTTTCAAGTCTGGCCACTTCGGAGGTGTGAAGTGCACATGGGAAAGTCCCATAATCTGAATGCAGAAAATCAACTTAAGCACTCGCCTAGCGCAAATCTGAATACGGATAACTTTTCCCCCGTATCCATCAATGTAACTTGTGAACTTAAGCAGTCCACTTAAGTCGGCAGCTTTGAACGCGGCCCTATAGGAGCACAGTAGTTCATATGGCGGGGAGGTTCAGATGGAATAAAGTCGGCTGGAGTCGCTTTTACATTAGCCTTAAGAAACACTTATGATAATGCTGCCACTTCAAACAGCTCTTTTAACACGACTAAAGCCAGTCGCAAAACCAGAGGCATTTTTTAGCTGCTGCCACTGCAGGCGGCCAGAGATAAGCACGCCTGCTTCCTGAACGCTTATGGATACATGCGTAGACCTATAGAAACCCATGTCAACAGTGTTAGGAACTTGATTCAGGCAGTAAGATGTCAGACAAGAAGTGTTATTTATTTGAAGGACGTCTGTGAAGAAAAAAAAGGCAGATTTACAAAAGTGTCAGCCGCTGACAAGAAGAAGTGCAGCTTTTGTAAAGAAAAAATGTTAAACAGTGACATTGAAGAAGGGATTATGTCTGTGGCAGAGAGTGAGAGAGGAAGGAAAAGAGAAGGAGAGCGAGGAAGAGAGAGAGGTGTCAAGAGAATCATACGACGCAGTCGTTTTTTTTTAAAAAACTCAAGTGGAACATTTCAGTTCAAACATCCTGGCCTCCCCCCCTCCTCCCCCTCCTCCTCTTCCCCTTCAAATGGAAAAATGAAGCATTCGGCACAGCGTGACATGACACATAATGGAAAGGCGGATTAATTAAAGCGATGCTAACTGCAAATTAACAAACGTAAGTGGGGCCCGTTAATGAGAGGCTATGTAAATCTGACCCACTTGAGTGTTTTATTTAATCATCCACATTCTAAGCTAACGCTGTTCCGTGTTTACAAGGCTGCCTGTTTATCCACTATTAGCACTTTTCTCCTCTGACTTTCTACTCAAATTTCCATTGGTCAGTCTTTATTTTGATCGGTTTTCCTGAGTAGCTATTGGCTGTTTGTCCCCATCAGACTGGAAGTTAGCACTTTTGATTAGTGCACACCAAGTTATTGGTCTCTGGCAATTACAATTACTGTGTACGCTGGACATTAATATACACAGTGCTGTGCAAAAGTCAGACAGTGTCCTTCATTTGTTCATTTTCCACAAAAAAATTGATAAAATATCAAACCTTTCAGTATTAAGTGTGTCCACACTTTGCCTCTATTACAGCCTTCATTCTTTTTGGAAGACTTATCAAGGAAAGTTCAGTCCTAGGAGTTGGTTGTACTTTTTCATGAACCTAGTAATCCCTATTACACATTCAGTGATGTTGAGGTCTGGACTCTGGAGCTTGATTTTCTCCTCTCTCTCAAAGCTTTAAGTGCTGTTTATCTGATGGGGGCAGTTTTGGTGGTCTGTCAGGTCTTCCAGGTGGTTGTTAGGAATCCCATTTTTCTATATCTTCAGGTTTGGAAACTCCTGCTTCTTTCACTTATTTTTTGAATTTCTTCTTCCTTATGCAAGTGTATTATCTTAACATCTTTTTATCTTTTTATATTTTCTGACTGGAAATTAAATAAATGAAAGGTGGTCTCTGACTTTTGCATTGTACTGCAAGTGGATTAAGAAACTACATCTGAGAATCTGAAATTATTATTAATCATCAGTACAGACTGGTGCTTTCAGATGGTCCAGGTCAACTCGTAAACTGGAAAACTGTCATTTGTTTGCATTTGTGTCATTCATAGCAACTGGTAAATTTATCACATGAACAATAGGGATATTTGGGATGGACCAATTCCAGCTTGGTCTACTGATGTTCACCTGGTTTTACAAAACTCACAAACTTGAGTAACCCAAGCTTGCCCAAGGTTGCCACTGCTTTTGGCCAATTCTTTTATCCAATATAAGTTTGTTGGAAGTTTACTGGTTTAGGACTTTGAGTCTGCCAGTTTACTTTTACGAGGACCACCCGAGTGCACCGCTGTTCTTCGAACTACAGTAGTGAGCATCAACACCTGATTTGTTGTTTGCTGAGCCAAGCTGTCAGTCTATTGTGGTTTCTTTTCATCATCACAAAGCAGAAGTGGTTGTGTCAGTGATTTGGGTAACCGGCTGAAACCGACAGTCCCGTGTCTCTGATTGGCTGGGGCAGTTAAGCCGTTGCATGCGACTGGCTGGCAGTTACGAGAGAAAACCAATGAGAGGCTGGAAGAAGAGGCCCAATGTTCCAAGCATGCAGACCAGCACAAAAACCCACAGGAAGATCCGGTCAATCACCATGGCAACGTACTTCCAGTCGTCCTCCACCTGACAGAGACGAAAGAGAAAGAAAAAAATCTTATTTAAAGTAGAAATGTGAAATCAGAAAACAGAAGCAGGTAAAATTGAGGAAACAGGGCAGAATTTGCATCACCAGCCAAGAAAGCCTTATCACGAATATTCCATAATCATCATGCCGTGAAGAGCTAAAACCAGTATCTATGGAGTATTACGATGCTAATGTCGTTCGTCCCTAAGATGCAGCCGCAGTGACAAGGCAGAGAAGGAGAGAAAGTGAGCGAGAGAAAGAAACGTGTAGACTTTTCCATATCAAAGTCTGATCCTCCACTGAGGGACTTAAAGGCTGTATTTTTAGATAAAAAGCTCCTCTCTAAACGCTCTGATTCGGCAGAGCGCTGTTGTTCTGCAAACTCATGCTAGATTTGGAGCTGTGAGTCATAATTTATGCTAACGAGGATATTACAGCGCTAAAGCCTGTGACACTGTAGGCATCGTGGCGATTGGACTTGTTTGGCTGGATACATCTCAGGGTCTTAGGCTTTATCCACTTGCTTTAGCTGTTCACAGCAAAGGCTGTGCCTGAAGAGTGACAAGCAAAGATTATCCTGCTGTGACGGCACTCATCAAACTAGTTAACATAACCGATGAACATGTCTGCGCATTTGAGTGCGTGCATTTAGAGGACCTGCAGAGTCGTTAGGGGGTGATTGTGGTGTAGGGTCTATGCATACGTGGAACATGGCTGTTTGCAAGGCAGAAAGATGGTAAGAAGGAAAAACATTCCAATGTTAGGAAGCTAAAAATTCAGATAATCGATCATTTCAAGCATTCTATTAATTGTCAGTTCTCAATTTCTTAGGCCGCTGTCATTACGTACCTGGTTTGGTTTGAACTAATCAAATATTTTCTTTAGTTTGGCCCATTTTCACAGGTGTTAACAAATGTGGTCCACCAAACATTGCAGGTCTCCGCCCTCTTCTAAGTGAACTCTGGTTCAATTTGCTGCTGGTGGGAATGTATTTTTATGGTGGTCCACATCAAACAAGGGAATTCAACATCAGAGCATGCTTTCCTTTTCGTCTAGCAGTACCTCGGTGCTGTACGACTCTCAGATGCTCATATCATTCCTGCAGCACGGGATGCTGCTATTAACAGTAGACAAGCAATAATGGTTGGTTTTATTGATTGGTTGCGTTCAAAGCGACAAAATGTTTATTGCTTTGATTGTGATTCATGTGTGTTAAGCACCTATTTTTTTAATACAAAGTATGGGCAGCATAATACATTTTAATCAATAATATATGTGAGGGACAGATGTGGATTTTATCCAGTGTTGGGCTAGTGAAGGTTAAAAATGGTCATTTTTGTGGCTCTAATGTGAAAGTAACTAAGGGCTTCTACATCAAGCAAATTTTTGACCAATCAACAAACGTCCATGGGTGTAATTTGATGCACTTTAGCCGTTGTGATGTAAAATCAAACAAACCAAACTAAAAAAGATACAACGCCACAAAAACCCAAACTCTGGTTTGGACTCTCAATCAAGTTGTAGCACACTGACTGTTGTACATTCTATTCTCAGACATTATCCATGTTTAATCCAGAGGGGAACTCCCAGGACCTTCTATATGTCTAGAAACTAAAAATCAGTCTGTAATTTTTAATGCTTTTTCATTCAATAGAATCATCAGTCATGTTGTATTTAAACTCTGCAAATACTGTTGTTATACACTTATTTCATTGCTAAGTTTTGTTTGCATACAAGAGGGTTAAACTTGTGAAACGCCTATTGGTTAGGACTTCAGGACCTTACATGTCAGGTTATCCACCAACATAACTGAGAAGTGAGAATGGACTCAACCAACTGTGTTTTGATTTGCAATAGGTGGGACCAATTTAGTGAGAAAAAAAATGTCACTCTGAGCCTTCGGGAAGACCTAAATGTGTCACTGACTGAGAATGCGAGCCATAGTCTAACCAAGTTTGAGTCAGTTGCTGGAAAGGGAAAACAGTGGCAGCTCCATACCAGGATTTTTTACTGAGTCACTGTAAAACTCCAACATACAAGGTAAAATAAAAGTTAATGTTTGTTACAAACTTTAATTAAAACATGAAATGTCTTTTACAAGCTCCAAACATCCTTGTTCAGCAAGAAATATTCATGTGCACCACCACAGTACTGGAAATTGAATAGGAGCACTAGCAGGAATTAACATCATAGAGGTGCCTTTTTTTCTAGCTCAGATTGGCCCCATCTAATGTCCAAACTCTAATAGTCACAGTTTGCCACTGGTTTTACCTGAGATACACTCGTGGAACCTTAATAGTGACCTTATGTGCCCATACATTTGTCGGTCCCTAAAAGAGAAAGAGCTAGAGATGAAGTGTGAGAGGGTCCGTACCTCTTTAGCCTTGTTGCGGCTCCTCATGTTCTCCGCAATGTACTTGACGCTCTCTATGGCCTGTTTGATCTCTGGTGAAACCACTGAAAATGCCACCACTGTATTTATCGCCTGTGGGCTCAGCTGACGGCTCACTTTCCCACAATCCACCTCAGGCCCCTCCTTTGAAGGGTGGCATGGACAGCCCCCTTTTTTCCCTTCCCCTGAGCCCTTGCCCTCGCCAAACTCCAAACAGTTCATGGCCCCCTGTTGGGAACTACTGTTCTTCCTCTTCTTCCCTTCTCCTCCTCTTCCCCCTCCTCCGCTGCCACCAATCCCGGACGAGCCCCCACTTTCGGGTCCACCACCCTTCCCTGAGGATTCTGACTGAACGAGGGGACGGCGCATCAGCATGATGCGAGGCAGGGCCTGAAGGAAGACGGTGCGGACCCATCCAGGCATGGTGTGGGTAGTGGGTGTTCGGTAGTGGACGTTGAGTACAAAGACGGTGATGACAATGGAGAGTGTAACGAAGATCATGGTGAAAAGTAGGTACTCGCCGATGAGTGGGATGACCAAGGAGGTGGACGGGATGGTCTCTGTGATAACCAGCAGGAACACAGTGAGAGAGAGGAGGACGGAGATGCAGAGGGTAACCTTCTCACCGCAGTCTGACGGAAGGTAGAAGACCAGGACGGTCAAGAAGGAAATGAGGAGGCATGGGATGATGAGGTTGATGGTGTAGAATAGAGGAAGGCGGCGGATGTAGAAGCTGTAGGTGATGTCTGTGTATATCTCCTCACAGCAGTTGTACTTGATGTCATGCTTGTATCCAGGCGCGTCAATGATCTTCCACTCGCCGCTCTCCCAAAAGTCCTTGAGGTTGACCTTGGAGCCTATCAAGACCAGGTCAATCTTGGCCTTGTCGTAGGTCCAGGAACCGAACTTCATAGAGCAATTCTGGTAGTCGAAGGGGAAGTAGGTGATGTCCATTGGGCAGGAGGATTTGAAGATGGCTGGTGGAACCCATGTGATGGTGCCATCGTACCTGAGTAAAGCTTTGGTTTTGTCTTCCACCAAGAAGTCACCTACAGCACTGCGGTGGAAAAGTGGTTAAAAAAGTTAATTTAAAACATGTAATTTGAGAGAGAACTTTCTACCCTTTCAGGCACCTTTCATAATTGCACTGTGGAATGTTTTCCTCATCCTCCAAAGAAATTAGGAAGCAAAGACTGTCTCTGAAAACATTTGAACTCAATTTCAAAGGTCACATTTCACTGATTGACTGGACTTACTTGTTGTACAGCACGATGTCTGGCCTCCAGATTTTACTGGATGGAACCCTGATGTTCTCAATACCGTCAAATTCTGCTGGTGACCATTTCAGCTTGTAGTCATTCCATACCTGCAAAACATAGTTGACAAAAATAAGAAACATTCATCAGAAATTGACAATCTCATGATTTCCTCTCGGTCTTAGCTTCTTATCTCTGTAACGGTTTCACAGAATTCAGACGCTCGCGGATAAAGAAAGAGAAGTAAGCTTTAATTTTGAAGTCAGAATCCAAATCGTTGTCAAAATCGTTGTCAAAAAACAGGCAAAAAGGTCAAAACACATGGAACAGATATCCGGGGCAATCAATCCAAAGGGCAAATCCAAAAAACAGTCGAAAAAGAACGGGTAATTCCGGTCATACACAAAATCAGGATCACAGATAGAACGCTCAGTAGTTTGCAAAATGAAACAATACCTCGCAAATAACTAACGCTAAAGCCCGGGTTTATAAGCCAAACTGAGGAAGTCACATGATCAAAACACACAGGTGTAACACATCAGAATTCGGGCGATCGAGAACGCTGATAGGAGCATGTGGGGAGATCAGAAGTCAGCTGATCTCCTTGTGTATACTGAGAGATGGAGTGCATTCAATCAATCACCAAGCAAGACCATAAATTTCATTCACACTACAGTATCTTCTTTAACTGGTAGCATCTCTCAATTTGCATCATAACTATATCTACACTATACTATAATACTACGGTCATATTTTAATATTGCTTAAATCTTTTGCTAGCTATTTTGGAACCTGTGCCTTACTGACATCTTTATATTTATGCATACTGTATTTAGTTTTGTTTACTTTTGATTGTATATCATATTTACTGTCTTTGAACTGTCGCCAGAACAAATTTCTTGTATGTGTGAAAATGTAATATGATATTAAATGATTCTGATTCTGCTTTATCGTTAAAAATCCTTCATCAACCAAAGGACAACCATTCAGGCTTTTCACAGCTACTCTTTCAAGGACTTTTGTCCTCCCCCCAGCATTTGTTCTCATTTTTGTATGTAAAAAAAATTTTTTTTTGCCTTTTTTTTTTCTCTGAGTGACAGTTATGCTCAGTCACATGAATGACTGTCAGTTATACCACCTGGATATAACACTGAAGGTTTGAAAAGAACATCTCACTTATTCTCTCTCTCTCTCTCTCTCTCTCTCTCTCCCTCTCTCAGTCTGTTAGTCACAGTGCCTTGTCCTGTTGTGATTTATTCATGTGCAAAGACGTGGCGTGTCTCTTCGCGTGACAGTTGCACACTTTCGCACATCTTAAACACAACATGATCTCAAGCACAAAATGATGGGCTGAGAGTACATCACTGGCACTATTTACACACACGCTACACCACAAGGACACTCATACTACAGGGAGGATATCTTCACCAGATTAAGCCTATTCCTCTACTACGATAAGCTTAATCTGTGTTTGACAACTATCCCTTAAAGTGGTGGTCTGCAGAACAGTTTCACAAGTCCAATTCAACCTTTTTATCATTGCTAGTGTCTTAGCCTGCAGTCTCTTAGTTACATTTCGAATGTCTGTCGACGTCTGACAGGCATTTTTTGACTTGCATTGCTATGAGCCTGCATTGCTGATGTAAGCTCTAAGGATGGTAACTACTAAAGTTAGTGACACCTTTCTAGCTAATGCTAAAGCTTTAGCCTCAAGACTCTCAAGGACAGTGCAGAGTCACAATTGTTCACACTGAAGGTGATTTAATGCCTTTAAAAGCTCTATTATACTAAAAACTATTATTAGTTATTACAGATTTCTTACAGTTACAAATACATTACCTGATGGACAGTAAATGTTGCTATTCACCACTGTAAAGAAATCAGAGTCTGTCAGTTTCTCTCCATCAGACTACTCTGAATGACACTGTTTACATCTGAAAGACTGAATTATGCATACTTTTTAAAAAATTTAGTGGAATTTCACTTTCAGCTCTGCTCACACAGAGATGTGCACACACACAACAGTCATATGGCCTGGACTGCACCCTCATTATTGTAGAAACAGGATGTGAGGTTTGGGCATTTTTTAAAATGTCATCGCCAAACGCCCGTCAGAATGCTTGCAGTTGTGAAGGAGAAAAGAAAATGGTACTATATGAGGTCATATACTGTACTGAGAAGACGGGTGAGTGGTTGTGTACTTGGATATACTACAGTGGTTCAGCATCTTTGAAATACACAGTGTATTGTGTGTGTGTGTGACTGCATGTGATGTGATGCTGTATTAATGCTGCTGGTCTCTCTGCATTCAGTGATAATGCGGATCCTGCCACCAGGCACTGCACACTTTAATTACACTACACTGCAGGGCACAAACACACACAAAACCCCAAACCACTTCACACACATTCAAAAACAGGTCTGAAAAACTACTGGTGCACAGATTAGGGGTTGCAAGGTTTTTTAAAGTCAACAGTTATATGATAAAAGTCGAATCGACTAAACACTGATGACATCATGAATAAAACCACAGGAAAAGGGAATGCTTTGCAACAAAGCCAAAGCCAAGCTCCACAGGTCAGCAGAGTGTGACATGTCCATTCCAACGAGTCCTGGATCACATTGCTAGCCTTCAGGAAACCAGAGATATGGACCCTGAAATCACCAGGCTACTCATGTGTTCTCTGAGGCATCCGTGTCATAATCATGTGATCAGAGACTAGTCAACATCAAGCTTAAAGCATGATGCGTGTATATATATATATATAATATATATATATATATATATATATATATATATATATATAGTTTATATGTATATAGGAGTTTCCAAAAATGGAGTCCAAAAAAAATTAACAAATGACATAAAGAAAATGGGATTCCTAACAACCACCTGGAAGACCTGGCAGACCACCAACATTGTCCTCATCAGATAAACAGCACTTAAAGCTTTCATCTTTGAGAGAAAATCTGGCTCCACTCTTGATTCAGATCTGAAAACATCCACAGGTGTTTCTGTCCATCCCTCCACTGTGAGAAGACAACTCAACACTGTGAGCCTGAAAGGATGTGTAGCTGACAAGAAGCTCTTACTGAGAAAAAAAAATATACAAAACAAACAAAGAAGCTGCTGGTGTTCTCAGAACAATGGACTGACCACCCCAGAGTCCAGACCTCCACATCAGTGACTGTGTTTGTTGTTACTTGGATTATGAGAAGTAGCAAGTGCAACTAACTTCTAAGACTGAACTTTGGAGGTGTGAAAAATATCCCTTAAAACTAAAATATATTTATTAAGCTAGAATTGAGCTACACATATATAATATGTAATGAAAGTGTCATCCAAGCAAATGAACAATATATTCTTGGAAGATCAACATGTTCTTCAAGATACTGTAGTATTGGTATTACTAATGGACTAATTTCCTTCAAAATAATTATCTTTGCAGGTTCATCTCCTATACAAAATAATCACATTTTACAGTAATCCTGAGTGGATGAATGCTTGGTTTGTCTGTGATACATCAGGCTATAGCAAGTCTCAAGAGGATCAACCTACTCCTCAAGATACTGCAGTATGGTGGTGCTGCATGAGTTAAAGATATTTCTTTTAGCAGCCTGGAAAAAACAATGAATTATTGAAAGCTAAAAGTGTCTCCACTAGAAGAGCCTGCTAAGAGTTCATGAGTGCACAGCTGCTGGCAGATGTGAGTAACATGTATAAGGTGACTGTGTCCTATATGGTAGTATTTCGCTCCCTTCTGAAGTAGCCCTGCACTGCACAGTCCTGAGGAAGGTCCAGCACATTACAGACTATTCTGACCATGTAGAAAGAATTCAAGCCTTTACCACTAGGCTGCAGATTTAGAGCTCCAATTGTGAGGACAATGAGGTATAAAGACTCTTTTGTATAGAATGCTGAATTGGCAACCTTGTACTAAAGCACTTGATTCACACTAGGGCCTAATTTGTGCCAGAGCGAGCCGAATATGGCCCTATTTTGGTGCATCCCGCACCTCGCTCTCAAATGGAATAAATTTATATGATGATCTGTTAATATGCTTCATGACCAATCATAAAATCTACATAAAATCATAATGCGTTTCCTACAAACAGCTCTCTCTATCCCTACAACAATTGGGACAGTATGTGAAATGCAAATAAAAACAGAAAACAGCGATCTGTAAATTCATTTTGACCTATATTTAAACATAAACAGTACAAAGACATGTAATGTTTTTACCTTATCAGCTTAATTGTTTTTGTAAATGTATGCTAATTCTGAAATTGATGTCACCAACATATTACAAAAATACTGACACAGTGGTAATTTAAGACTAGGAACGTTGTGAAAGAGTTAAAATGTTCAAAATGTTAACATCATGTAATCATGCTTAGGCATAAAAGAAGCATTCAGGAAAGGCCTACTCTGTTATGAAGAAGGATGGGTTGAGACTCGCAACTTTACCAAAAAATACATCAGCAAATACTCCTTAAATAAGTTTAAGAACAAAGTTTCTGGAAAAGTAATTGCAAGGACTTTAGGTATTTCACACTCTATGGTGCATAATATGATCAAAAGATTCAGGGGATCTGGACAAATCTCTTTGTATGAAGAGCAAGGCCAAAACCCAGACTGAGTGCCTGTGATCTTTGACCCCTATGATGGCACTGCATTAAACACTGATATGATTCTGTGACAGACACCACCACATAGGCTTTGGAATACTTTGACAAGTCAATGTAAATGAATACCAGCCATATGTCAACAATGTTGAGAAACACTGCCGACGTCTCTGGGCTCAAGCTCATCTAAAATGGACTGATGAACATCGTAAACATTGTAAATGTGCTGTGGTCTGACGAGTCGACCTTTCAGATTGTTTATGGAAATAATGGACGCTGTGTTCTCTAGGCCAAAGTAAAAAGGGACCATCCAGATTGTTACCAGCTTAAAGTTCAAATTCAGGTGGGGACCAAATGCAAATAAAATATTAGTCCGTTCTTCTCTGAAATGCCTATTTTTGGTATCAGTTTTTCTCTTCAAACATACTGACAGGCATTTAAGATAGCTAGCTTGTTTTGATGCGACAGGGGCCTGACCCAAAGAGTATTTTCACTGCAAGAATTTGACCCCAGGTCAAATTTATTTGGTGACACCAGCAGTATATCTTTTTATTTCATTCCTTATCTGTTCCTGCTTTAAAACTACTTCTGAATTGCCTCATCATGTCTTCATACTGCTAAAGCCATTTCCTTCTCTAATCGTTCACCATTTCCTTTTTTCCATTGCCTCTACTCTCACTCTCTCTCTGTCCACACACACACACACACACACACACACACACACACACACACACACATACAAGCGAATGTTGCTTGTCTTCCAGAGCTTCTCCCTCTCCACACAGTGCTACCCTGCTGTTTTCTTTCGCTGCCAGGATGGGTAATACACGCATGTCATAGGTATTAGAAATGCATAAATATATACGGAATCATAATATGTCCCATGTGTATAATATAAATATCTAAATGTAATAATAGTATGTCCCCTATATTATGATGATGCTGAAGGTTGATCCTCCATGTGCATTCAAAACAGCTCTGACCTGCTGAAGCATGGACTCTACAAGACCTCTGAAGGTGTCCTGTGCTGTCTGCACCAAGACGTTAACAGCAAATCCTTTGAACCCTGTGAGGTGCAAAGTGGAGCCAATTGGATTGAGATTGAATTTGGAGACCAGGACAACACCTTGAACTCACAGAAAGAAGGATTCCGCGTGTGATCCTGAGAACACCATACCCACAGTGAACTACGAAGGGGGGAACATCATGTATGGGCTACTTCTCTGCAAACAGTATGGGGGGCATAACATGACATTGAAAGAAACATGAATTACATGATGTTCCGGGAGAAATTAGAGGAGAATTTTATCTCATCAGCCTAGGTGAGGGGTCGGCAACCCAAAGGCAAAAAAGAGCCATTTTGTCCTTTCAACAAAAATCAATTCACCTTGGGAGCCACAACATTGTATGTTGAGAGTTAAAGGTTGGTGAATTAGCCGTTATGCATTAACTCCAGTGTGTAAGACTATTTATTGTTAAAACTGTGTTGAACAATCAGCAGAGCTTTATTTTACTGCAAAGGAGGATTATTTTATTTTTACCTAAAAAAAATCTAATTCTCCTGTGGAGCCGCAACAGGGCAGTCAAAGAGCCATTGCCGACCCCTGGTCTAGAAACTGAATCTAGGAAAAGGATTGACATTTCAACAAGATAAAGACCGGTTTCTAAAAAGAAACTGAAGGTGCTTGCATGGACTAGCCAATCTTCTGACTTGAACCCCACTGGAAATATATTGAAATTACGAAGCCATCAGAGGGACCCTCGTAACCTTGGGGAATTGAAGATGGTTGGCCAAGAGGAACGGGCCAAAACTGAACCACATTGCTGCATAAACTTACTTCTTATTGTAGATGTCTTGAAGCCTGCCAACAACAGCTTTGCAACAAAGTACTATGCTATTAATATGTGGTATATTTTATATTTATAAGTGGACATAAGCACTAAAGGTATAATAAACAGAAAAATAAAAGTGTTGAAAAATGGAAAATGTACACACACAGAGTACCATATAAACCACTCACATGTCTCAACCACAGGTTAGTCTCCATAATCTGATTGACTTCATCCTATGGAAAAAGAGAGAGAGAGAGAGAGAGAGAGAGAGAGAGAGAGAGAGAGAGAGATCTAAATTAAGACAAGATTAACTTCCAGCACAGTAAAACAATAGACAGCAACTCTACACTGTAGGTAAAAAAAACAGCTATATTGTGTTTGGGATGATTCATTTTTATTCTATCAATACAAAACCGAATATACGTCTATATGTTCTGGCCTAAATCTCTATACAATCATTTCTCTAGATACATTCTCCTGCTGTGTTTGCATAACAAGCTCTATTCATCACCACAAAAAAGCCCCACCAGCGTAAAGACCATAATCACACTACAAAAAAAACACTACCGTACGGCATAATCACCCAGCAGCAGTGTCCTCTAAAACTCCCTCCCTAAGCAAATGATCGGCAGCGTGAAAAGGAATAATCTGTAATCCAGGTGTGTGTTTGCTCTGCTGCTGTGTGAAGGGAAGAAAAGCCGGTGGCTATGGAGGCTCTGCCCCGCTGGAGTGGATAATTTAATCCCAGGGAGTGCAGCTGGAAGCACAGCGTCTGCCGGACTTCTAGGGGGGCCAAGCACCATTCGGCTGATAACGGGGAAAAACACTTTACTCACAGAAAAAGCTATGAAGGAATTTTCCACATACCCTGAACTAACGGTAAAGGACTATATATAGTAAAAATCAATACTGTCAAAACAAAGCCTTGTACTTCCAAAATGGTAACTTCAAAGGAGAAGGATAACTTTTAATGTAAGTTAGTATAACGAAATTTTAATGCAAGCAAATTTAGACCATTTCTATTAGTCTATTCATCATGGAACGTGCACAACATAAAGGCTAGCAACAAAAACCAGTTGGTTTGACAAAGTCATTGCTATGTTGGTGCACTCGTATTGACATTTCATTTACACAGAGATTTAGATACTTTATGAGTTGCTTTATTTAAAGGCAAATGTATTTCTAGAAGTGAAATGGTGTCAAAATGATGAATATAATGTAATCTAACTTATAGGCATTTGTGCTTTTTAATAAAGATTTTGAAATTGCATTGTCAGAGAGAACACTAAGCTAGAAAAAAGAGACAAAATTCAATTGTAAATGGGCAACAGTTTGCAATTACATATTCTTACCTACTGAGCTCATTCTATGTCAGAATGCCTTTAAAAATGCATTCAAACAGATTGCATTTTCATTTTTATAGACTTCCCAAACTGTCAATCATCCCATCAGGGCGGGGCCTACAGCACGCTCAGTGGAAAAGGCTCTATCTAAAAAAAATGCAGCCAAAGAGTTTATAGCTACTATTATGTTATCAGATGAGGTGAAAAAGAGAAACATAGCCACTTGTGATGTTTAATGTCTTCACACACGACCCAGTGAGAAAGTGTTTAATGAAATGTGAGGCCAAGTTTTCTGGTTCATCAATCTGGTTGATAAAAATGAGGCTGAACTTGGCCTCCTTCTTGCCAGCTTCCTTTTCAAATTTTCCAGTTCACCTTAAACAGTGCAGTAGTTACATTCTGATGCCTCAAGGCACACAGATGTTACAGCAGCATCACTTAGGGTGGAACAGAAAATTCAGAAAAGAAGCCTTGTTTCATATACTGAGAACGGCAGCTGCAAGTGAGGATGAACTTTGAGATTGTAGTTGATGCGGTGCAGGGATATCTTCTACAGAGTGAGCATCAGAGGTGGATATATTGCTCTGCCATCACCTCAACTGCTAATACGCTATGTGAATTGAGGAGGGCTGCACAGTTAAGCTAGAAAAAAAGCTGATGTTAATGCTAACTAAGGCTACATTCTTAAACAAAGCCCCCATCTTCTCATTTTACCTGCTGGCTAACATGACCCAGCTCACACACATATACCAGCAATTTTTATAATGTTAATTTTAAAAAGAAAAGCAGGACACTAGAGACCCCCTAAAATCTGCAACATATTCGAATAAAGATTCATGGTGGATCGTATATAAAAACATAGTAACCATCACAACTGGATATACTGCTCTGTTTAACTCCATCTTTTAACGTACAACTGGCCACCATGATCCAGATAAAACCTTTTCTGCTGAGCATACTGTTGGCCCCACTTTGATGGGATGATTGACAGGTTGGGAAGTCCATGAAAATGAAAATGTAACGTGGTTGAATGCATTTTCAGGACATTTCGATAGAGAATAAGTGCAGTTGGTGAGAACATGTAATTACAAAGTGGAGAGGTGCCGTTTCCCTTTTACATTTGAATCTTTCTAGCTTGTTCACTTTGATAAAGCAATTTCAAAAAACATTACTAGACAGCGAAAATGCATAAAAGATAAAATGCATTTTAATTATTATTTTGAAACAACTGTTGCATAATCACATAAGGCATGAATATGCAGGTCTAGAAACACATTTAACTTTAAATAAAGCTACTTATAAATCATCTAAATCTCTGTGTAAATGAAATGTCAATACTAGTTCACCAAATGGCAAATATAAATGGAATTATTCCATTTAAATTTTCATTTTGAGTCCAAACTTGCATGTACGAGTGGAAAATTTGGATTTAATTTTAGTATTCCATTGCATTTTAGCATATTACATTTCATTTTGATTATAATACTGATATGCTTCCATAGCATACGCTAAAAATGACTAATTTACTATGACTGGAAATGAAATAAATGAAAGGGTGGTCTCTGACTTTTGCACAAAACTGTATGTAATTTGTTGTGTAATTACATAATAACGTAATAACATTCGACTAGTATATCAAAAGGCTTAATCCCAGGCCAGGGCCTGGTGGCATGTAAGGGGTTAATATCTTTTAACAAGTGGAATAATCTAAAGTGTTGCATGCAATTATTTTCTTGTAATTGTTAACCATAAAGGTAAGTTTTATATAACTCATAACCTGCAACTAGTTGTGAAAGTCCCACCATGTAAAGCCAGCCTGAAAGAAGATGCCCTGAAGTTGATTTAAGCAAGGTGCTATAAAAACTCTCAGTACTGGCTCTAAGACAGTGTGGATATGGTGGGGAGCCTGCAGCTCTGCATGCTGAAGCAGCTCTTACCACTTTGACGAGCTGAGAGATAGAGACCTCAAACTGCACCGTCACTGGATCTGACACGTTCTCCACCGGCCGGATGAACTGATTATACCTCCTGAACAGCCGGCGGAACAGCCTGTCCTCTCCTTTAGACGACAAACACTCTACACATACACAAACACACACAGGGATATGTGTCAGAACTGTGAAACTGCAGCACCTGGTGAGGGTCCTCAGCAGGAGAGCAAGAGGAGAACACTATATTTATGCACCAAACTATGACAGTCAAACACCAAGCATTCATATGTAAGACAGTAGGCAGAGCTCCACCAGAGGACCACACAGAAATGCAGAGAACGCTGTGCATTATCTTCATTTATTTCACGTGGATCTGACTCCAAGCTTATCATTGAGAGAGCCTATCATGTGGTTTCCACAGAGTGAACACTGATTTACTGATTTTCATTACTGATGTCCAGTGAGAGCAACACTGGCTGCATACATAGTCAATGAGAGTGTGTGTATATATATATATATATATATATATATATATATATATATATATATATGTATATATATAGACTGAAAAGCGACAAAAAAGCGTCAAAAATGGAGATACAAGGTTTCTCTCTCTCTCTCTCTCTCTATATATATATATAGATAGATAGATAGATAGATAGATAGATATTGCTGTTGTCGGAACAAAACCTTGTATCTCCATTTTTGTCGCTTTTCAGTCAATGAGTGGATGTATCATATGTATATCATATATAGTCTAGAGATGAACATATATATGTATAGTCAATGAGTGTATATATCATGTATATCACACATAGAGTCAATAAATGTATATATCATATACATCAGATATACAGTAACTGAGTGAATATATCAAATATATCATATATACAGCCAATGAGTGTACATATTAAATATATCAAATATTATATATACAGCCAGTGGTTCACTGGTGATACTGGAATTTGACACTTTTTCTTTTGTTTTTTGATGTTATCTTTTTGTTAAAGTGGTTACATCATTTATGTATCCATATAAGGCATAACTATTACTATTTTTTTATTCCAGAAAAGGTTTGTGGCTTTAAAAATGTTTTGTGCTACATGTTCTATGTGAAGAATTTCATTGCAAAATACACAATTTTCAATTTTTTTTTTAGTCAGCTTCATACATACAAGAAACATCAACGCTATATTTTGAGTAATACCACCTTTATTAGAGAAATAAAAAAGTGTTTTCTTTAAAATTAATAGTTATTCTTTTCAAAAACTCTGTATCTAAAATTGTTACACATGGATGTACAGCACTTGAAACTCCATATTTAGATAGAAATGTGCATGACTTACAAAACTGGAAGCACTTTTGTCTTCATAGGTAACCAAGCAGGTCAACATTTTTTTAAATGTTTTTATCATGTTTGATATGAAGAAAGCTGGAGTTGTTCTGTCTGTTTTACCTCAGCATGGCCATCTTTGTGGAAAGCTGAGAATTGCTTCCATAGCTAGGGGACCTCATCCCTCCCCTTTCACCTCTCACTGCTCACTAGCAGCTCAATACAGAGTCAAAACATCTCATGCGCAGAGCGCTGACAGTGTCCTAGATAATCTGATAGCTGTTCTAAATATTTTATTTGGACTAAAAATATCCAAGTTGACTTCCTGTCTAATTTAAATATTGTTAAATATGATACATTTTTTTAAGAATATATATATATATATATATATATATATATATATATATATATATAATATTTAAATATGAGCTTTAATGAGGAGATCAATTAAAGAAAATACTAATTTAATCATCAGTTTTTATCACTCCTGTGTCGAGGCTCATGCATGACTGAATGTGTGCAAGTGTGAATGTGCTCTGTGTGTGTGAGCAGCAGCTTCTTGCTTTTAGCACATTCCTCAGGGTTCCCTCCACGCGCTCTAAGAGTGCTAAGCCTTGTTGTTGAGGTCAGAGATCACCCTCAGCCTTCGTCACGGAGACCAGGTGCAGTCAAGTGGAAAATGGGGCGGCTTTCAGAAGCCTGTGACGCACTTCAGCATGTCAGAGTGGAACGTTCAGCCACATCAGAGCAGCCCAAAGCTCATAACATATGTTTCTATGAAAACACATTCACAACCAAAGCTGGAGTAAAATAAAGTAATAAAATAATTACTAACTACTTCTCTCAAATGTGTGTTCCAGCACATTCTACAGATGCTGGATCAAGCTGAAATCTGTGGAGGCCAGGGCAACACCTTAATCCTCAAACTATGCTGAACTATGTGTGCAGTGTGACACGGTGCATTGTCTGCTGAAAGAGGCCGCTGCTATCGGGGAATACCAGCGCCATAAAGGAGTGAACCTGCTCCGCAACAATGTTTAGGTAGATGGCAAATGTGTCAAATTGACGTCCACATGAATCCATGGACCCCCCCCACCCCCCCACCGGCTTGTCTTCTTCCATCACTTCTCCAGGTAAATGCCGCACACGTTCTTCACGTGTATTACTGCCATGCTGACCACTTGACGCAACCACCCCCAGCCTCTCACAACCCCAGCAGTCACTATTATGACTTGTTTTACTCCGTATGACAGAAACGTAACCAGCCAGCGTGCTTACACTGAGCATCCAGCATGGATTCAGATCATTTTGGAGTTGAAAGATTTACAGCTAACAGTACATGAAATGTACTGCTGAGTTACTGCTGAGTCCTGGTCCTGGAGATCTACCACCCTGCAGAGCTTGGCTCCAACCCTAATCTGACACACCAGATCCAGGTAATGAAGGCCTTTATGAGTCTGAATATTAGAACTAGGTTTCTTGGACCTAAACCGTCCAGGATGGTAGATCTCCAGGTACCCCTGAGTTAATGTGAGGTGATTTCCAGCCTGCACCATATTTAAAGCTTATAAGTAAGCACTGGGTTGATGCAGATATGCAACACAATGGTGTCTGCACCCACATGGCAAAATGGTAAAAGGCAACAGAGAAAAAGAAAAACACAAACTAATTTTAAGGCCATTCTTGGGGAGATTTTGGAAGATTACTGAAATACATTGTTTATGGAAACGTTTCTTTTTGATGTTAAAAACAATGTGCTGAGCACTGAAGACAGAAACAGACAGGCTATTAGTTTTAATCACAACGTAATGATTATCAGTGCTGAGAACTCCATATAGGACTACATACATTAAATAATACTGTCACATTGTGATCACCTGTAGACAAAAACAGGGCTTCCCATCTCAAAAATGCCTGCTTATACCTCACCAACTCGCATGGCACTTACCTTAAACTGTGTTTAGTTGTTAAGTAATCTTCAATAGACTTGATTATGTGGTTTCTGACACTGTATGACCCACTGTTACCTATAAAAATGGATAAATGCACAGAAAAAATGAAACTGCTACTACTGTTCTTAGCTATGTGACGTACTTTAGCCCATGTTCATATATAACAGTGTGTCATACAGTGTCAGAAACCACATAAGCAAGTCTATTTGAGTGACAAGTCAAAATGCTTTAAGGGCAAATGTTTGCAAGCAGATTACACAATGCTAAATGATTTACTTGCTAGCATGTTAGCTATTTTAGCCTTGCAGCTCCAGTGCAAAACTAAACAAGCAACTCCAAATATGTCTCAGTCTATCAACCACATTTGGAATAGAAGCCAAACTCTCACTTTAATAGAAATATATGGAAACTATACCATATTTAGAATGAGAGATAAATAGTGGAGAGAAATTTGTAGAGCACCAAGACTTAGTTTCAGAAAACTGTTGCCCTCAGTATTTAACAGTTACGTCCAACAAAAAGTACTTAGAAGAGCAAATTTAAGCCTCAAAGACTCCAATGAACCTTTTGAACCAATTTCTAGTGCAATCGCCTCCCTGGAGCTTTCTAAAGCTTTAGAAGGTTAATATGCAGTGACTTATGAAGAGCTACAAGCTCCCAAAGTTGAGTTATAGAGTTCAAGCTTCAGAACACTTAAACACACTCACACACAGTTTCAGCAGCTCTGCCTCTGTGTGTGTGTGTGTGTGTGTGTATTGTCTTAATTCCTCCCCTTTAATTACTTCAACTTGTTAACTCTCCATTGGCCCTCTCTGTTAATTGGGTTAGCCAAGGATAACAAGGCCTTTCGTCCATTAATTAAAAAAACTTCAGGCCGATTAAAACACATAAGGCTCACCGTACAGTGTGGTAGAGCTTAGATTCATTTTTTTATGAAGTCTGGAGGGCTTATAAGAACCACAAACTTCTAAACTGAAGTGACATCTTACATCTACATGGGTCTCTTGGAGGCTTTCTTCTCCAGAAGGAACTGGTCTAGAACATTCTGTGCTTGGCAACTGTGTCTAGTTGCTTAAACCAGCTGAAGATATTTCCTTGACGCTCCATAACGTAGCCGAATATTTTATTGTTCAAAATAAAAGATGTAGCATTACTGAGTCAGGAGAGAAAAAACATGGTGTCCTTGTGCTGCTGTGAGTCACCCAGAAAAGGCTAAAATATTCATTCAAAAGTCAGAGCTGTCGGGTCAGATTTGGTGGGAGGTTTTTAGACTCCATTAGACGTCGTTACGGATTGATGTCACAATCGAGCTAACAAAAGAAGAGAAATACTCCACAAATTAGGTTTTATAGACTTTTGCTTCATTAAAGTACCTTAACTTTTAGCATAGTGTTGTAAGTAGTACACAAACCACCTGTGGATGAGTCACCTCCATAGAAAGAATGGAAGTTTATTTTGATCAACGTTAAAAAAAAGGGAACAAAGCTACTCGATTCCAAGTTTTATTTCATTAAAATAGGTTAGGTTTTACCAGCATTAGCACAGTTTTGTAAGTATTAGCCCAAAAATGTCAGCAGAAAGGTTAACCATCTCCATTGCAACAATGAAACTTTATTTTTATTTTAGATTATTTTAGTCAATGTCAATAACTTTATAATGCTTCCTAATGATTCCTTCATAACTAAAACATTAAGGATGCTTTATGTAAAACTTCACTTTATTTTCTCAGCTGAGGGGAATCTAAATGTAAGCATTCATCTAAAAGCAGCACTACATCAGTTTGGGGATTTGGAGCCCTCTCTGGCAGAAATATGTAATTGCAACCAACTGGAACACTTGTAAAGTCAGATCTCCTACATTC